TCAATTGATACATTTTCAAGTACATAACTATAGAGAACATACATTTTGTATTACCATATCATTTTTGTAAGTTTACACAATCCCAGGAATGTCAAACATGATGGATCATTAGCTTATACACTAACTTTCACACATCTAGATTGCCGGGCGGGGTGGGTGTGGAGCCAGAGACAGCAGGGGTTCAAACTGTAGAACCCAGTTCCTACATTTGAATATAAAAATGGATTTTATCAAAGAAAACTATGGTACATTTAATCTCTGGGACCCTTAGGATGACAAATCAGAAAAAGATTACTGAATGGAAGTACATTATTTACCTTCAGAGGTGAATGTATCAAACCAGTTGCCATGATACGTTTGTTGTTGTTGTGCACTCCCCTCAAACAATAGCATGGTATTTTTTCACTGTAATAGCTACTTTAAATTGGACAGTGCAGTTATATTAACAAGAATTTAAGCTTTCTGCCCATATTAGACATGTCTATGTCCTGGAAAGTTTGCTGTTACATACAACAGTCATGCTAAGCACATTGGCGCACGTTCGCTCAACCGTCCCATATACGGGACACCGATCCCGTAGAGGTTAATAGTACTTAAAGCTGTGTGTATGTGAGAAGGAGAGTGTGTGTTGTGAGCAAGTGTTAAACTTCAAGGACATTGATAAGAGGGAGTAGGCCTACTGAAACATTGGGAGTATTAATAGCTGTAGCTATGTTAGTGACTTTTGTGTTCATGGTGAAAATGCTATTAAAACATTCTGATATAATTTTGTGTTTCCGTCCCTTAGAATCAAAGCATAGTATGCCTGTAACTAAATGCACTTTAGAGTCAGAATTTGAGCAAATTCAAAGATTTTGATTAACTAATGTCATTAACTTGATTTAATTATTTGAATCGTTTGACAGCCCTAATTACTACTACATTGATAGACAAATGATGAAATAGTGTGTGTGTGTGTGTGTACATGCATGCGGCAGACATGGTGCTAGTGAGTATTGTGGCAACCACAGGGTTCTCATAGCAGAGCCAATCAAAGGACAGGTGTGAGCTACAGGAGCACAATTATTGAACTGTGTGTTTGAGAGGGAGGACTAACGGTGCAACTTATTTTCGTAGGCCTCGTTGTGTGCCTTTCATGTCACACACACACAGACGGGCAGTGCCTCTTGATGTGTTTTTTTTACCCAAGTTCTCCCTGCTGTTTTCTTCCCATTTTGTGAAAACTATGGGTTAAGGAAAGAGAAATATTTGAATTAAAAAACAATGGAACTGACTGTTTACTTGTGGGAGAAAAGGAGAGAGTGCAGCTCAGAGTGAGTTAGAGAGAGCGAGGGGGAGGCAGATGGAGAGCGAGAGAACACGAACTGAGAATGAGACATAAGATGATTAAAAGGTCTAGTGAGGGATGAGAGCCCAGAACTCGTTTCAGAGGCAGAGAAACGAACCGCAATAACTAAAGCAGCAAAGCAAGAGGGCGGTTGCTGAGTTTCTGAAAGATTACAGCGAGAGAGGGAGGGGGGGGCAAAAAGCCTGCATTCTGTGTTCTCTCTTCTTCCTCTTTCCGCCTGCTGATCTTGTTGCCATCCTCCTTTCTAAAACAACTAGCCTCCCTCTTTCCCTCTCTCCCCCTCCATTCTGTTTGTTCTTTCTGCTGTTCCCGTTCCCCTTACACACACACACTCACATTATTTTTCTCCCCTTCTATTTTCCGTGCTCTAGTCTTTCCCCTCTCCCCACGCTGTCTGCTCCCATCCTCTCCCCTGTGCCTGTGCTTTGATATTAGGGCAGTGGCATTTGAGTGAGAGGGGGTGGGTAGGGACCTTGCCTGCCTGCCTGCTTTCCTCTGAGAGCACAGCTGCAGTGAAGCAGACGTCGGGCCTGCCACACTGACGTTAAAGCGTGCTGCTTCCTCCCTCTCCTCTCCCCCTGCCTCGCGCACACACACTGCATTCTAATTGACTTGCCGGCTGAAAGGAGTGTTGTTTATCCTGAGACCTAGAGGCTGATCTACATCCTGTGAATGTTGCTCCCTCCCTCCTGTACCCTTTGTCTCTCATTTCTCCTCTCCTCGCTCACTCCTGTGATTCATTTCTCTCTTTCCTCTGTGCGTTGCGGCTCACTCCCCATAATTAGAATGCGCACAAGGGGGATGGAAAATGAGCTCGAGGGAAAGGAGAGAGAAGGAGGGAGATGAAGGCAGGCAGAGAGAGGGCTGGGGTGCTGCCGAGGCAGAGCTGCGAGCTGGTTGGCTGAGCCGCTGGCAAAGGGCGGAGGGGGGATGGGTTGCCACTCTGCTATTTGTTGGCCTGAGGCCCTGGGGTGGGGGAGCGGATGGGAGCTCTAGTGTGGTGCCTCCTCTCTTCTACAGGGAGCTCCGCTCATCAACAGTTCATCAAACCCACCACAGCACTGAGGGGGAAAATCAGCAAAATGCTTTCTGTTATTACTCAGTGTGTGTGTGGTGGGGGATGAGAGGGAAAGACACCCTACCCACTATTTCTCTCGTCATATCACTAGCACTCAGAATGCACTGTGCTGTTTGATGAAAGACTGCATTGTTAGATTAAATATAAGATGAAACATTATTGTAGTAATAGGTAAGGTTGGTACACAGACTATCAGAGGACTGAAGCCGTATTCCCATCCATTACGCCTTAGAGGCCGGGGGCCTAAGCTGCCCAGTCAGTGTCTACCTGTCTCTCTCTGTCTCATCCCTCTACCTGTCTCTCTCTGTCTCATCCCTCTACCTTTCTCTCTCTGTCTCATCCCTCTACCTGTCTCTCTCTGTCTCATCCCTCTACCTGTCTCTCTCTGTCTCATCCCTCTACCTGTCTCTCTCTGTCTCATCCCCTCACCCTGTCTGTCTCTCTTCTCGTCCCTCTACCTGTCTCTCTCTGTCTCATCCCTCTACCTGTCTCTCTGTTCATCCTCTTACTTGTTCTACTCCTGTCCATCCTCTCTACCTGTCTCTCTCTGTCTCATCTCTACCTGTCTCAATCCTCTACCTGTCTCGCTGTTCCATCATCCCTTACATACCTGCTTCTCGTCTCAATCCTCTAACCTGTCTCTCACTGCATACGCTACCTATAATCTCTCTGTCTTATCCGCTAATGTCTCTACCTGTCTCCACCTGTAATAGTACTCTAACCTGTAACATCTCTTCCATTCTCACTTCATAAAAACCACTGCTTTATCACCTCTAACTGCTCTTCTCTATTCTCCCCCCCAGTCTCTCTCTCTGTCAATTCAATGCAATAGACTTTATTGCCATGGCAAGTTAAATTACTTACATTGTCAAAGTACACATATACCAACAATGGTGGGACCAACAGCAATAAGGCATCAATAATAATTATAGTATTAGTGGAAATGGGATGACCATTAACAACTACTACAACAACAATGTTAATGAGAATAATAATAATAAATTAAAGCAATAGTAGTTGGCCATTCTCAACATTAATGAAAAACCACATGGCATAGTATGAAAGACAAAACAAAACGGCAAATATTATTGACATTACATTTCACTTTTCACTTGCCGTTCCCGCTACAGTAACCCCCCCACCCCCCTCTCTTTAACCACTCTCTCCATCTCTCCCATCTCTTCACTGTACTGTGTCAACATGAGAATGAACCATGAACAAAAGGGTCAAGATAAACATCCAGTCAGTTTCACATGGGGTGCTATTCATTAGTGCACACCTTAGCAAAACATTTTTTTAAACAAAAACAAGAGATTCTTATTGGACAAGTTCAGGTAGTCCCTCCCCAGTTTCTTTTTTATTTTCTTCTGTTTGGTGTCTAATGAATACAACCATTGGCTGCACACTTTCAGTACTAGAGATCTTGAGTTGTTCTGCTGGAGGAGGAACACACAGGAGTACAGACAGGCAGGTCTTCTCATCCCAGATAAGGCTCTGTGTGGGAGACTTACTGTATGCCGTCTAGACCTTTTGATAAAGGGAAAAGGTATCGGCCATGGTTGGCACTAGGAATGCGTCCCAAATGGCACCCTTTTCCCTGTATAGTGCACTAAATAGCCTTTTCCCTACAGTGCATTCGGAAAGTATTCAGACCCCTTGACTTTTTCCACCGAAAACAGGTTTTTATACATTTGTGCAAATGTATTAAACATTTATTTTTTTACATAAGTCTTTAGACCCTTTGCTATGAGACTGGAAATTGAGCTCAGGTGCATCCTGTTTCCATTGATCATCCTTGAGATGTTTCTACAACTTGATTGGAGTCCACCTGTGGTAAATTCAATTGATTGGACATGATTTGGAAAGGCACACACCTGTCTATATAAGGTCCCGCAGTTGACAGTGCATGTCAGAGCAAAAACCAAGTCATGAGGACGAAGGAACTGTCCGTAGAGCTCCGAGACAGGATTGTGTCGAGGTACAGATCTGGGGAAGTGTACCAAAACATTTCTGCAGCATTGAAGGTCCCCAAGAACACAGTGACTTCCATCATTCTTAAATGGAAGAAGTTTGGAACAACCAAGACTCTTCCTAGAGCTGGCTGCCAGGCCAAACCGAGCAATCGGGGGAGAAGGGCCTTGGTCAGGGAGGTGACCAAGAACCCGATGGTCACTCTGACAGAGCTCCAGAGTTCCTCTGTGGAGATGGGAGAACCTTCCAGAAGGACAACCATCTCTGCAGCACTCCACCAATCAGGCCTTTATGGTAGAATGGCCAGACGGAAGCAACTCCTCAGTAAAAGGCACATGACAGCCCGCTTGGAGTTTGCCATAAGGCACCTAAAGGACTCTCAGACCATGAGAAACAAGATTCTCTGGTCTGATGAAACCAAGATTGAACTCTGACAGGGACTGGGAGACTAGTCAGGATCGAGGGAAAGATAAACGGAGCAAAGTACAGAGAGATCCTTGATGAAAACCTGCTACAGATCGCTCATGACCTCTGACTGGGGTGAAGGTTCACCTTCCAATAGGACAACGACCCTAAGCACACAGCCAGGACAACGCAGGAGTGGCTTCTAATGATGGGAAGTTCGGCTCTTTTCTGAGAGCCGGCTCTTTTGACTCGGCTCCCAAAGAAGAGCCGGCTCTTTCGACTCCCGAACGGCTCTTTATTTAGGATCTTTTGTAGCCTATATTTTACCTTAACTTTGAAAAAAAATCATGGTTTATGTGTTGAAAACCCTTTTGCTTTCAGTGTTTTTATGAGAGACCTTATAATGCCTAATTCTGTGCATTTATTCTGTGACAAAACCACTCTTACATTTGTTTATTTCAATTAAACTTTTTTATTGCACAAATTAACAATAAACTTCAAACAAATCCACAGAACAGAATCAAAACCAGAACCAAACTCCAGCAAACAGCATTAGTCCTCAGGGCAGGTTGGCATTCAGGAAGATCAGATGCCTCAGCTTGGATGGGCTGATAGGCCTGATACGATTTCGCCTCTCCGTGAGTATCTGCCCTGTTTTGGAGAAGATTCTCTCAGAAGGAACTGATGTGGCAACAATACATAGTCTCCCCTCCATCACCTTCACCAGGAGTGGAAAGACTGAGGCCTTGGCCTGCCACCAGCTCAGTGGGTCTTCTGCTCTCTGGATGAGGGGCTCCTCAAGGTAGCTCCTCACCTCCATTATAGCATCAGCTGTCGGATTTCTCCTTGAAGCATCTCCTGTAGCTCTGTCATCAAAAAGCCTCCAAACAGCAGAGGTTTGCTGCTCCTCCTCCACTTGGCCCTGTAATGGTGGAGCTGGCTGGCTGCTGGGGGTGCATTTTGCTGCTGCTGCTGCACTAATCCTCTGAAGAGCTTCATCAACAGCTCTACGATCACTGAAGGCAAGTTTTTTAAACCTTGGATCCAATAAGGTAGTTTCTGAAAGGACAGTGTTGTACTCCATCCGCAGAAATTTGCGGTCCATGGCTGAACAAAGAGCTGCAACTAATTCCTTCACTTTCTGCACAGTTACTGTCCATTGGTTCTCGGCTGTCACCAGCTGCAGACCTTTGCAAAGCAGGAGCATTTTCGAGGCTGTGACATAGCTGAAGGAGAGAAAACAGCAACTTTTAGAATTTAGTTTTTTAAAAGTATGTGGCATATTATACGTGATGCATTATACTGTATGTGTTGTGTTTGCAATGTATAATAGTGACTGAATAGTAGTAGAGAAAACAATGCTTCAATGGTTCTAGGTACCTGTCTGCACTTATCTCCACAGTCACCTCCTGGAATGGTTGCAGGACGGCGCAGACCTCTTTCACCAGCTCCCATTCCTCTTGGCTTAATGGCTCAATAGATGCGTTGATGAGGGCCAGGGTGGAGATGATGGCATCTTTTATTTCAAGCATTCGTTTCAACATATCAAATGTTGAGTTCCACCTGGTGGCACACTCTTGTTTGGGCCTCAGTTCAGGAATCCCCATTTGGCGCTGTGTGGACTTTAGCTTCTGTGCTGCTACTGTGCTTTTGTGGAAAAACTCCACAACAGCCTTCACCTTATCCACGGTTGTTTTGATCACCTTCAGAGCATCTCTAACCACCAGGTTTAGTGTATGCGCCAGACATGGGTGATGGGTCCACTTCAAAACTTTTATGGCTTTGGTGATGTTTGCAGCATTATCACTCACACAGCACACCACTTTGTCCTCTACTTGCCACTCTTTTGCCACTCTTAGTAGCTCCACTGCCAAGTTTTCTGCAGTGTGTCTGTCGGTGAACTCGAAGCAGTCCAGAAGGCAAGATGTCATCTTGTAATCTTCAATAAAGTGGCAAGTGACAGACATGAAAGAGCAGGTTGTTCTGGAGGTCCAGCAGTCAGTTGTCAGGCAAACTGATGGAGCTTTTGTCACCCTTTCTTGCCATAATGCACGTTCTGTGTCATATAGTTTTGGGATCATTGTTTGGGAAAGTGTTTTTCTACTGGGTAGAGTGTATGTGGGATTTAGGGCTTTGACAAAGTTTTTCATTCCTTTGTCCTCCACAATGGAAAAGGGTTGAAAATCAGAAGCTACCATTTTAGCCAACTCATCATCAATACTGTGCTGTTTGGCTGGGGTCATCAGTTTAGGTAAAAACTGACTTATTTTGCTTTGAGTTGCAGTAGGAGAGGTTATACTTGCACGCATGGGGATGGCAGTAGACGTTACAGCAGCTGTTGTTCTGGTATGAGACACACCAGGATCAGTAGATGGTGAGCTGGCTTGCCCTCTCTCCTCTAACTGCACTGTAGGATGGACAGTTCTTGTATGTCTATGCAGGTTTGTGGTGGAACCTGCTCTTATAGTGACCTTCGTTTTGCAGTGAAGGCACTCTGCTTTCTTGTTCCCAATATCTTTAAACTGCAGCCAGATGCTGCTTCGCTTTCTAGTGTCACTCATAGTTAAACGACACGACAATGCAAGACGCACACACGCTCCTCAGTCCGCTCTGTCTCTCTCTTCACTTGCAGTGGAGTCAAGTGGTGTGTCTGCCCCGCCCCCTCTCTGTTTACACATCCTTAATTCTCACGTGAATGCCGCATGCTGGTCGCCATGCTGGCCAATCATAACAGACCTCTGTGAAAGTGAAACCTAAGCAGCGAATGGGCAAAAAACTGGGAGCCGGCTCTCACTCGATGCGAGCCGGCTCTTCTGATTCACTACAAAGAGCCGGCTCTCAGAGCCGATGCTTGTGCGCATGACCCATCACTAGTGGCTTCCAGACAAGTCTCTGAATGTCCCTGAGTGGCCCAGCCAGAGCCCGGACTTGAACCCGATCGAACATCTCTGGAGAGACCTGAAAATAGCTGTTCAGCGACGCTCCCCATCCAATCTGACAGAGCTTGAGAGGATCTGCAGAGAAGAATGGGAGAAGCTCCCCAAATACAGGTGTGCCAAGCTTGTAGCGTCATACCCAAAAAGACTCAAGGCTGTAATTGCTGCCAAAGGTGCTTCAACAAAGTAATGAGTAAAGGGTCTGAATACGTATGTAAATGTCATATTTCAGTTATTTTTTAAATTTATTTTTGCAAACCTTTCTAAAAAAACTGTTTTTGCTTTGCCGTTCTGGGGTAATGTGTGTAGATTGATGAGGGGGAAAAACAATGTAATCAATTTTAGAATAAAGCTGTAATGTAACAAAATGTGGAAAAAGTCAAGGGGTCTGAATACTTTGCGAATGCACTGTAATATAGTGCCCTAGACAAAAGTAGTGCACTACATGGGGAATAGGGTGCCATTTGGGATGCAGACTAGAATACGTCCAGTAAACACGCTTGCCTGTCCATAACCAGACTGGCACTAACTGTTACCACGGCAGCAGACAAAGGCACCAGCTGGCTCTGTGCCAACTGCAGCGACGGAGAGGAGGGGTGGTGGCATCAGGCTGCTGCTCCCTCCATCTCACTCGCTCTCTTCCTCATCTCTCTCTTCCTCATCTCTATCTCTCTTCCTCATCTCTATCTCTCTTCCTCATCTCTATCTCTCTTCCTCATTTATTGTATTTATTTTGATGTCACCTTTATTTAACCAGGTAAGCCAGTTGAGAACAAGTTCTCATTTACAACTGCGACCTGGCCAAGATAAAGCAAAGCAGTGCGATAAAAACAACTCAGAGTTACATATGGAATAAACAAAACGTACTGTCAATAACACTAGAAAATCTATATACAGTGTGTGCAAATGTAGTACGTTATGGAGGTAAGGCAATAAATTGGCCATAGTGCAAAATAATTACAATTGAGTATTAACACTGGGGTGCAAATGAGCAAAATAAATAACAATATGAGGATGAGGTAGTTGGGTGGGCTACTTATAGATTGGCTGTGTACAGGTGCACTGATCGGTAAGCTGCTCTGACAACTGATGCTTAAAGATAGTGAGGGAGATAAGTGTCTCCAGCTTCAGAGATTTTTGCAGTTCGTTCCAGTCATTTGCAGCAGAGAACTGGAAGGAATGGCGGGGATTTCCCTAGAAGAAATGTATAGATGACCTGGAGCCAGTGGGTTTGGCGACGAATATGTAGTGAGGGCCAGCCAACGAGAGCGTACAGGTCACAATGGTGGGTTGTATATGGGGCTTTGGTGACAAAACGGATGGCACTGTGATAGACTACATCCAATTTGCTGAGTAGAGTGTTGGAAGCTATTTTGTAAATGACATCGCCGAAGTCAAGGATCGGTAGGATAGTCAGTTTTACGAGGGCATGTTTAGCAGCATGAGTGAAGGACGCTTTGTTGCGAAATAGGAAGCCGATTCTAGATTTAACTTTGGATTGGAGATGCTTAATGTGAGTCTTGAAGGAGAGTTTATGGTCTAACCAGACACCTAGGTATTTGTAGTTGTCCACATATTCTAAGTCAGACCCGCCGAGAGTAGTGATTCTAGTCGGGCGGGCGGGTGCAAGCAGCGTTCGATTGAACAGCATGCATTTAGTTTTACTAGCATTTAAGAGCAGTTGAAGGCCACGGAAGGAGTGTTGTATGGCATTGAAGCTCGTTTGGAGGTTTGTTAACAGTGTCCAATGAAGGGCCAGATGTATACAAAATGGTGTCGTATGCGTCTCTCTTCCTCATCTCTCTCTCTCTCTCTCTCTTCCTCATCTCTCTCTCTCTCTTCCTCATCTCTCTCTCTTCCTCATCTCTCTCTTCCTCATCTCTCTCATCGCTCTCTGTCTCATCCCTCCCTCGCTCATTGATTGGCTGGAGGAAGAGAGAAGGCAATTATGCTTTTTCATTCTAAATAAAAGATAATGAAAGTATTGGACAGGTCCCAAATATTTCAGCATGTTTTATTTTCTCCCCCTCCTTGTTCCTCTGTCTTCCTTTGTTCCAGATTGTACTGTTGAATATTTTCTACACCACCCCCCTCTGTCCCATAGTGCTAATCTACTCTAGCCAAATTAGGAATTTATTGTTTTAATGATACTGCTCAGCTATATTTGGTTTTGACACACATGCTCAGCCTCAATCACACACATGCACCCTTAGAGAAATCAGTGAGATTGCTGCTGTCCCCATTCCCCACTATTTCTTACACGCTGTCATTAAGTCTCTATTATTTTGCAGCACAGCCCTCTGTGTTTCGTCTGACTGCTACTCATGATTGCTGATGCCTCTCTCCGTAACTCCTCAGAGAGAACTACTTGTTCCATTGTGTTGTCAGCTTATTGGTGGTTGGATAATTCAGTCCCGGAGCTGGTTGGCTCTAGCCTGCCACGGTTTGAGTGGCTCAGACAGGCCACCTGCTAAGGTAATGGCTTCATCCCAAATGGCACCCTATTCCCTATATAGTGCACTACTTTTGACCAGAGTACTGTGGGCCCTGGTTAAAAGTAGTGTGCAGTAGTTGTCATGATACCAGGTTTAGTATCACAATACTCGATACATCATGATACCAGGTTTAGTATCACAATACTCGATACATCATGATACCAGGTTTAGTATCACACTACTCGATACATCACGATACCAGGTTTAGTATCACACTACTCGATACATCACGATACCAGGTTTAGTGTCACAATACTAGATACATCATGATACCAGGTTTAGTATCACAATACTCGATACATCACAATACCACACAAAAAAAGAAGGGGTATTAGCTAGTCACAGAATGGCACTTGATCCAGACAGATAAACTCAGCTACTGCTCTGTTCAATCGTTCGTTATCTTTTGAGTTCAATATCATTACATGTGAAAAATGTTATGTCAATGTTTTTCACAGCCATGTTCGCATTAATTTAATCAATTGTACAATCATACAATCAATTTGACTTTGTTTTTACCAATCTAACTACATAACATAATGGTAATCATTTATTTGAATGGTAAATCTATTGATAAACTGGGTAAATCAAAATGTAGCCTAGGTCTTCAAAATACAGGTGAATGCATATTATTCAATGGGAGTGTGTGCATGCATTGAGTTGAGTTTATTTTAGCTGATTTCATCGGGCCACAGATGACAAACAATCCCTTCCATTTAGGACCTATTTTATTGGCAACTGCTAAGAGAACATTATTGTACTGATTAACAACATTTGCATAGAAGAAGCAATCTCTTCTTTATAAAAGTGTGCGCTGTCTCTTTAAGAAATGAATGCCGTCGTTTGGGAGGCAGAATGTGGCTGTGGAATCTGACTTTGTGGATGTGGAATATTACATTTTAGTCATTTAGCAGACGCTCTTATCCAGAGCGATTTACAGTTAAAGTGCATACATTTTTTTCATTTTTTTTTTTCTCTTTTTTTTTTCATACTGGCCCCCCATGGGAAACAAACCCACAACCCTGGCATTGCAAACGCCATGCTCTACCAACTGAGCTACATCCCTGCCGGCCATTCCCTCCCCTACCCTCGACGACGCTGGGCCAATTGTGCGCCGCCCCATGAATATTACTTTGTGGCTACGGAATCTGACTTTGTGGCTATGGAATCTAGTGGAAACCAGGCGGGATTCGAAATAAAGACAGACGTGAATTAGTTTTTGGTGGTGAGGGAGACTAAGTGAATTAATAACGTTTTTGGTGACAATCAGTTTTGAAATCAGCATATTTCGCATTATGGTTTGCATATTATCACAAACAAAGTACTAGGGTAGTGAATTCAGCTGTAAGCTAGCATGGAAAGTTAGCCTACAATTAAAGCTGTATGGACATTGTTTTGCGAACAGTAATGAACAGTTTCAACATTTCTACATGCCATGTTGCATTATTCAAGTGTGTTAATGTCTGTGCAGCATGAGTGGGGACTGGGGAGCTAATGTAGCCCAGACAGCTCTAGCAATAAATATGTGGAGCAGCCTCTTCACGCTGTAATGGGACTGGGCTGTAATGGGACTGGGCTGTAATGGGACTGGGCTGTAATGGGACTGGGCTGTAATGGGACTGGGCTGTAATGGGACTGGGCTGTAATGGGACTGGGCTGTAATGGGACTGGGCTGTAATGGGACTGGGCTGTAATGGGACTGGGCTGTAATGGGACTGGGCTGTAATGGGACTGGGCTGTAATGGGACTGGGCTGTAATGGGACTGGGCTGTAATGGGACTGGGCTGTAATGGGACTGGGCTGTAATGGGACTGCGCTGATAGACAGACCTGATCCTCTCAATCACGTGAGACAAATTTGACAGAAGTACCGAACGTAACAAAAAGTCTAGTACTGAACCCTTTTTTTTTAGTATCGGATAAGTACAGATGTTTCGGTATACCGTGCAACACTAGTGCACTGTTAAGGGAATAGGGTGCTATTTGGGATGCAGCCAAGCCAACCCAACCCATACATCCACAGAGACCAGGGCATCCAGAGCCACGGTGATGAGCACCGTCTGAAACGGGGACATCAAACACAACAAAAAGCCTCTGTTGGCTGTCAATATTTAATTGGGCGTGAGTGTGTGAGTTGTCCCCAGAGGGTGTTGTGTTGGCTGGAAGGACTCACTCCATCACACCAACCCTCGGGCTAAATAGCAGACAGGATGAGAGGTGAGAAAAGGTAAGGAGTACCACAGGGTTCTATTTCAGCCCCCTCTCCATTTGGTATTTCTTTATTCTCCTATTGCTACGGCAGAGCTTATAGAGTACTCCTTCGAAAGGTGCAGCCAGTCAGTGTGCATATGAACTGGTTTTCAGAGTGCTGTGCACATCACAGAACCAATAACACAGTGTCTCTCTCTCTCTCTCTCTCTCGTTCTCTCATTACTATTCTGCACCAGCGCCTGAGTGCTGTTTTTCTTCCTTCAGTCTCTCGGCTTTTACTCTGCTTTGTAGTGGTGTTTGTGTTGAAAG